ATCAACAGGTGTATGCCATATTGATCCGTGAAGGCGTACTTGGCCGATTTGTTTTTTCTCTCCAGATTCTCTTAAACTGTCAGCCAGAAAGACCTACACAGCCTTCCTTCCAAAGAACATGACAACGAAATGTCGAATTTCATCGGCAAATGTATTACACGCTTTCACTCGCAAAGCGATGTTGCCTGGTGTCGGATTATACTCGTGATATATGCGCTGTTCCGGTAATACACTTCTGCAAAATCTACATTTTCTGCCGGTTTGATTTCCGGCGTGCGCTATAGCAAGAAAGCAGCGGATCAGCCGAAGCGCCGCTAAAGAAGTATACTTTCATTCAGTACCGAGTACATTACGGCGAAGCATCATATCCCGGCTCAGGGTCGGACTATAATGCAAATCCTGGCTCACACTGGAAACTGTGGAAAGTCCAACTTTTCTGCCTGTTGCTGTAAGAAGAATCAAGCGGATTAGCTGAAGCGCCGTCAGTAAAATTACAGAACTGGATATCTCCCGTAAATACAGTACTGTACAGACATGCAGCACATCCCGGCCCAGACGTACGGTCGATGCCGAAGTATCAAAAACGCCCAATATCGATCCTGAACCACCCGGGAAAATCGATTATCTCGGCTATAAGGACCCAGCGGGTTGATGTTCGGCGGCGGAAGCGTATGTCAGCAGAAGCGCGAAAACGTGCGGCAGTGTTCCCCGCAAAAATAGCTCATGAAATAGTGGCATGTACTTTAGAGTGGATTTATAATACCTATGTACTGTATACTGGAACTGAAAAAAACTGATCGTTATCTTTGTAGTAAAATTTAACCTGGGTTACTTTACAGTAAATTTAACTTGGTTTAAAAAATATTGAAGCAGGTCAACAATAACATTATGGCCTGTCCCAAATTTGGCTGTTTGAGTACAGAAAAATACCTGGTTACGCGCATTTTGTGGTTATACATACTGTAGGAGACGCAGGTTAAGATGAATGCCCGCTTTAATATTCGCAGTACGTCAAATTGATATTGGAATGGTCACCACATTCTAAAGCTATTGTTTCCCATAGTATCCTCTACGTGTCCTTTCCGTATCCTGTTGAATACTGCGTTGGTGCTTATCAGTAACTGCGGTATTCCAGAGTGGCCTAACGTATCCTTAAATAGAAATGTATCCATCAAGTATCATTTGAGTGTCCCTTTGGTTTTCTAGTGGAATACTTTCTGGATGCTTAATAAATACTGCAGAAATACGTTGCATGGGATACGGCAGTGAATAAAAAAATAGTAAATTTGAAAGACACATGAGGGGTACGGTGAGATGCGATGGGATACTGCGGATACAAATCAAAACACATACCGGAAAAATTTAACGTGTACTAACCGGGCAACAGGAGTAGATCTGAAAGATTTGTATTTTATTGTAGTACCCTTCGATAAAAAACCAGCTGGAAAAGGTCGCTCAGCTACTAAATTAATGAAAACACCGTTCGATCGATTGATTCGTTCGCTTGATTCGTCTCGTACCGGAAATACCAGAGAAGATTTTAGTGTTTGTTTGAAATCGGCCCAATAACGGCGAAATCGATGCATAGAGTCTTTTTTATTTCGTCAACGTAGAGATCCGTAAACGGGCATTCAGAAAACTACGATTACAAGAAAACAAGTGAGATCATTGGCACGTCACCAATAAAAGATCCAACAACACCACGTTTGTCCGGAAAAGGTCATCAGTATTGCAGTGAGAGACATCAGAGAAACGAGGCTGTGTGAGTTTAGCAAAAACGCCGCTGCGGATGTGATTTCGGTCTGGCGATCGAAGAGCACTTGGTCGATGACGTGGACGACGCCGTTGACGGCCGACAGGTCGAAGGTCGTCAGTTTGGCCACGTGACCTTTCCACTCCAGCTGCATCTCGCGGCTGTCGCGGCTCTGCTTGACCAGCACTTCGTCCTGCATCGTCGCCAGTCGGTCGCCGCTCTTCAAATAAGCAGCGTCCACGCGGCGACCGGCGACAATGTGTCGTTCCAGCACCTGCAATTAACGCTCGTCAATCTGTGCCACGATCACGAACCGGAAATTGGCGGCACGTACTCTGCCGAAGCGCACCGATCGCACGCACAGAGAATGTCGCTGGCACTGCCATCAGATCTGCCCATGCCGGATCCAACCGTTTCAAGGGAATTTCTTTGGCTACCGACTGCGACGTGTTGTTTATGCAGCTCCTATGACCGCTCCACGGACGAGGCAGACCGTTTCAGGTTGTATTTTGGCGTGTAATTTCTATAGGGCTTTAACGAACAGCAGGCCTCTCACGGCGTCCATAATGTGGATGTCTGCGTTAGTGCGGCGATGTCCGGCTGAACGATTCGTGTCCCAACGCAGTCGCCGTCAACATACAACTCCCTGCTCAAACAACCGGAAGTGGCAGAATTGTTTTCGTAGACACGAGCGGTATGCGATCTGTGCCGCCGTTAATCTCCCGCACGTGGAGGGCCAACGTCTTGACGGCCGACGAAGCCGTCAACCCAAAACTGCCCTTGATGATGTCGTCGGCATGATGGGAATGCTGAGATGGGTCGGACAAACTCAGCCATTCGCACAAGTTTCGCATACTCTCCTGGGCGTTGCGTACCGTTTCCGGGTCCTGATCCTGACGCAGTCAACTGCACTTCAACGGAATCCAGTTGTTTTAAAAAATACAGGCTTCTACACAATATATTTCGTGTTATTATCAAGAAATAAATTACCAAAAAGCAGTTGTGCTGCGCAAGCTTGTCCCCTGATTTCTTACGCAGTATCCCAGCGACAAAATGTACAAATTAATGGGTTACGTCAAACTCCGTAATATGGCGCGCCGCGACAAGTCACACTATTTCCACTTCACATGAATTTGGCGTGGCTGATGCGTGCCAAAATGAAAATCGGCGCAAACGATAAAACTTCTTTACATTAATACAAAGTGTAGCATACCTAAAATACTGAGAGGAGCTGATTTATCATTGTGAAAAATGTAGCGAAGAGAGTAGTGGTCAACGTTTTTAGTGCAAATTCGCGCTGAGTACGTGCTATCCGTGCGTTTACGTTAGACATTACGGGACAGGCTTGTACGTACTTTTACGCTATGAGCGTACGGATAGACGTGGACTATCCACTGTGCAGGTATAACGTACTCCCGCCAGGTAATGTTCACGCGTTAACTTTATGTTCAGTTTATTACTACATACTGTCTTGGTCTTTTCCAACAAGCTTGATTAGGCTTGAATGAATTTGAACGCAGATGCGCGCATTTTTTTGATAGTGATCGAAACAAGGTTTCCTTACTTACTCTTTCGTACAGCAGTAAATATATCTTGCAGATACTCGTACATCGGTTTTTATTTATCATTCTACACCGTAATTTAAAAATCGCGAGATAAAAACGAAAAACGTAATTCTAAAGCATTATTTTAACAACTTCGTTAATGACATAGGAACTTCGACTTCGAAGCAGTTATAACGTTCACCTGTGGATCGTATCCCGGCAAATACAGATACCGGCATAATTACACAGGAATCAACCAACCGTTAATAATAACAAATAGTGTGCCGTTGGATGTGGTCAGTGTTCACTGGCAGACCCAACATAGCCGGGCAGGTATCTACCTTGCAGTGGTCATTCAGGAAGTCACGATCAACGCGTGGCTTACAGCAGCCGAAATCGGCGGAGAAGGTGCACATCCTGCTGACACGGCGCCGCATCCGAAAGGTGATGGCGGATGGGGAGGAAGCGGCACCGTATGCGCCAGACTGCCGCATCACCAATCGCGACGTCACCGACACGGAGAGTCTTCCGCTGGGCACGACACAGCTACTAGCTGACTGATGGTGGGTGACCAGTAATTTCGATGTCATCTGTAAGCCATGGGAGAAAGCCTGTTGCTGATATCTTAACACAAGAATGCTTCGAAAAAATATATTTTTAGCAGCAGAAATTTCGGTGCACCAACAACGGCCAGTATAACGTCTCCAGAATTCTTGTTTTTATGGGACAACTGCCGTTCTTCGCAGTGGAATTACTGTTGCAGAATCAACGAAATTCATTCAAATTTTCTCATGATCAAAGCTGTGCTGTGCAACCCTCTTTTAGAATGCATTTCATTTTTAACTCATGCACGCATAGGTTATTACGTGTGACCTTTGACCCTGTTTGACGGCTCCAGATAGCTACAGCCAAGCCAGGGCTTTCTTGTAAGATCAAAGTCCAAACATTGGCGTAAATCTCAACACAGCTGAGTATGCGGGTTTGTCACTTGTCGCTTGTCAGTGCTAGATCTGATTGAGCGATAAGCAGAAAGCCATGTGCAAGACGAGTCATTCTGGGCTAGCCTAGGCTGATTAGGCATTTTAGATTAATAAATTGATACCACATACAGATAATTATCTTAGTAACGAGTTACACAGATAAATATACTAGCGGTGGTTGTTAAACACGCCAATGCACCGAGCGAGCGCCAATACCACTGGAAAACAGTAATATGGAGAAATTTGACATGTGGGAATTAAATCAATTGATGGAATTAGAAAAGCGCGACCTGACGCTCTTCGTGGCGACAGACAATATTTCTCCTGTTGACGAAGGCTTATTGCAGCATCTCGCTGCGTTCGATGCAGATAAATAAGTTCTAATTGAATGTCATGCTAAGCGAGGTGGATTAATGTGAAAATTAATTTGATTTGTGGCTGCGGTAAAAAAGAGCGGATCTAGAAGCCCTCTAACTGCAATGCAGACCAATACAGCGCGTAAGACTCTCCGTTTGTTACATCCAGCAACGAAAGTAAATTCCGAAAGTACAGATAGCCCAGACTGAGAGGCTTAAGCGCAAACCTAAGAAACCTAGGTTGATCAAATTTGTAAAGCTGAACTTTTTGGCTTTATTTACTGTAGTTTAGTTTCTATTTGAATCTGAAACTGTGCATATGTATTATGCTGTCACATTATCAGCTGTTGTGGTGTTGCATAGCGATGCGTATCATTGTGTGGAAGTACAGTACTCGTACAGTGGAAGTGCTTCCACTATTCTACCATGCGACGTTTGCGCCAGAGTACCAAGTACCAACTGTGCTGAATGTCAACAGCTGCTCCCAATCTGCAACCACTTTGTTACGCCATTGTATTATAATAGTGTGGTTACTGCTAAAAGTAAGTCACACCACTTTACAAGCCACAAGCTAGTCGCATGCGGAGAAGAGCAGGCAGAACGTAGAAAAAAGGTAAAACTCATTAAACATTCTCACACGCACTAAAAAATTCCAGCACTGAATAATTTTCTCTTGCAGGCTCTCCGAGACTTTTGAGAGCAAAAATTATATCGCAATGGAGCACCTATATTCAATTGCACTCGGTACAGTTAAATAACTGTAGGAGACTAAAGAAATCTAGAATTTGGATTTCTTAACTTGGATTTGGAGTTTTTTTTAGTTTTTCTTTTAAATTCCTTAGGTCTTCTCGGGTTTTCTGACGTTTTTTAGGTTTTCATGGTTGTTGCAGGCAGGTGTTGTAGGCTCCTCGTGGTTTTTCAGTTTCTGTTTTAGTTTTTTAGTTTCTTGGTTTTTTTTAGTTTTTTCATTTTTTGAGTGAGTTTTGAGTTTTCTGCGTTTTCTGGTTTTATTGGTTTTTGTAGGTAAGTGATGCAGACTCTTTGTGGTTTTTTACTCTCTGTTTTAGTTTTTTAATTTCTGTTGTTTTTTTTAGTTTTTTCCCTTTTTGGGTCAGTTTAGAGTTTTCTGACGTATTCAAGTTTTTATTTTTTTTTTAGGCAAGTGTTATAGGCATTAGGCTGCTTGTGGTTTTTTAGTTTTTAGGGCTTTTTCCTGTTTTGGGTTAGATTTTTCTTCTTTTTCTTAGCCTGCGTCAGAAGCTGTTGGAAAGGAAAAGGCACACCGCTACCATAACTGAAACACTATGCAATGGGTAATCTAAGAAAGCCTAAGAAACCTAAGAAAACCTAAGAAACCTAAGAAAAACTGAAAGAAATCAAGTTTGAAGAAACCTAAGAAAACCAGGAAAACATAAGAACCCTCGAAATATCCAAGGTTTCTGATTTTGATGTTATAAAAAATTTTGATGTTTTAAGTTATTTTATAATTACTTCATACCACATCTAAGAATTCTACAAAATCCTAGGAAAACTAAAAACCATGGGAAACCAACAATTTAATTAGTCACCAATTTAAGCTAACAATGTAAGTAAGCCAAGTAAAGTAATCCAAAGCACAACCTAAGCAATCTAAATGGAAGTCCAAGTCCGAGTTTCTGCGCGGACCCTTCCTTGAAGGTTAAAAAGTGTTAACGCGGTAACCTGTACGTGGTAGCGATAATCTGGATATCGATCAATTTTTCTTATGTTCTGGCGTGTCCAGTACACAATGGAATGCTTGGATGCGGACATCAGAGTTGCGATCCTACGTTTTTGCAGGGTGAGTCGGCCGGCAAAATCAATAAAAATAAGTCTGCAACCATGTACTGAGATAGGCCCATAAAAAGTGGCCACAGCTGTAAGATTTAGGCATGCCGAGGCCATAGTACTGTATAGACTGCGTTTCTTGTGAACTAAGACATATATGTATTCTTACAACATGGAAGTGGTAATATTATTAATTATTTAGAGCTATAAAGTATACTTGCAGAGGAAAAGACCTTCTATCATTCATTCGCTTATATTTCTGTTATGAATTGTATTTTGGTCCTTAGTTGGTACTTCAGTGATACACTGATACTTACTAAGGGTTACTCCGTTCGCTTCGCTCAGCAAAGACAACCATTCGATACGTTGTCAAGGTACAGCAAGTATACACATACCTTAATGGCTTAACGGCTATGCTCCTCAATGATAGCGATCTTGCGGCTCAAAGGGCATGCAATCTTTGGCCTATCTTCCTGTACGATACTTCTACTGTAAGAACACCAGAAAGTCACTCGAGCAGAGCTTTGATTACGGGCAGCGTTGCGGGTGTAATATCCAACTGCAAGAAGAAGCAATTACGTAATATGTTGCTTGGATTTTAGTTTTCTCGTTGTTTGCTAACATAATGGAAAGATCTTATAACGCGGGGCCATATGGGCGCCACGCGTATCCTCGACAGCGAACAGCGTGAACCCGGATGAGGCTTTATTGCCGAATCTAATGCGCACCGTGGCGCAGCAACACCAGACTAATGAGGAAGGATCCTGCAGCCAGTGCAACTGTGCTGCAGGTCCGTCAAAACAGCGCAGCAATGTGCGGGGTGGAAATCCCCAGAAACAGCGAATAGCTACTCAGGAGGGCGGGGCGTCCCGCCCTTACACCCCTTTTGCAGGCATCGCTACGTCCTCGGAGCGAAATCTCCCAGGATTCGGAGGATCCGCACCCCCCGCCGGTTCGGCTCGGGTTCCGGGTCAGTTCGGTCCGGTCGGCTCGAATCCGGTTCGGCTCAGGTTGGGTTCCGGGTAAGTTCGGTCCGGTTCGGTCCGAGGTCAGCCGTCTGGGTCAGCGCTCTGTCGCGACTAAATCCAGGGTCCAACCCGGAAACGGGTGAATTCCGTAGTTTCTTCAGCAGGAAAGGTCACGTTCTGGGGAAATTTGGGCAGGGGTTTGGGGTCTATGTGGCCCGTGACCCCTGTAAAAAAAACAAAGCACGCAAATCCGCGGTGAAATCCACTGCTCCGTCCGGGGGGAGGTCGCCGTCCCAGGAAGTTCGGGCAGTGTTTTGGTGGGGGAATTCTTCGGCGTGGTGCTGGTGGTCGATCCGTGCCGTTGGGATCGGAGTTGGTGCTGCTGTTGGCGGTGTATCCGTCCTGGTTTCCCGCTGGTCCGGGTCGCGTTCGCCGTCGGCATCGCAGGAGGCAATTCTCGCTCCGCGGCATCTCCGTCCAGTTTGGGAGGCATCCGTCGCGGGGAGGCGTCCATCTCCGTCAGTTGGGAGAGGAATCCATCACGTTCCGCGAGAACGGGGGGCGTTTGTAGCTCCACACCAAGGGGCTAAATTGGCTCAGATAATCAGAGGAGCCGTGCGCGCGGGCAGCGCGCACAGCCTGGCTCGAAACCACGATCTGCTACCATATAACGCGGGGCCATATGGGCGCCACGCGTATCCTCGACAGCGAACAGCGTGAACCCGGATGAGGCTTTATTGCCGAATCTAATGCGCACCGTGGCGCAGCAACACCAGACTAATGAGGAAGGATCCTGCAGCCAGTGCAACTGTGCTGCAGGTCCGTCAAAACAGCGCAGCAATGTGCGGGGTGGAAATCCCCAGAAACAGCGAATAGCTACTCAGGAGGGCGGGGCGTCCCGCCCTTACAATCTTATTTTAGTTCACTTTTGGCCATGTCCGTTTAAAAATTTGCGGGATTTGCTAGGATGCAGCGGCTATTTCTTGCTTAGCTGCTGTATCCTTGGCTGATCTAATCCCTGTGATGCATCATCACCTAACAAAAAACCTTTGCAAGAGCGTATCGTGAATCGTATTAAAGGATTTTTTCGTCCCACCGAATTCCGCTGACGCGTTTCAAGGGCGAGCGAATGTAGTCGGCTCAGAGGTTTGCGGGTTAATGGCTTCGAGGCCATTAGCTGTGGATTCTAGCAGCTGCCTCGCACCGAGGAAAAGAATTTTAAATCCGGGTGTGATTGTCCTTGCCACCGCTGAAAATTTTCAAAATTCGTTAATTTCTGATTTGTGTGTTTGCTAATTGGTATAAAACATTTTACATATTATAGATAGTAGCAGCTTTTTGAAAGTCGGCAATTTCACAGCGGTGGCAGAAAGTAGGGACCACCACACGGGTTGCACTTGCTTAGAGGATTCGACCCGGTACATAGTATCAAATTCTGCTACATTCACGGAGCTTTCGCTGTCGCGCACTCCCAAATACGTTTTTGCACTGCTTTATGATATTTTGTAGCCAAAGGATTTGTAAACATAGGCGAAAAAACCGTTTGTGCGCGCAACATCCGGTTCAAGAGTTATCAGTGAAATAAAATTTCAAAATGAATTTCAAAAGTTTTAAAATTCATTTTAAAATCGGAAAAAAATGGTAGAAAGCTAGGTCGGCACCAAAACGTTCTTCATGGTACTGTAAAGTGCGTTTTCGTGCAAAATTTGAGGAAAATCGGTTCATAATGAGACTTTTGGTACACCTCCGCGCGTTTAAACTTTGGAATTTTATTTGACATTTTGGAATTTTATTTCACTGATAACTCCCGAACCGGATGTTGCGCGCACAAACGGTTTTTTCGCCTATGTTTACAAATCTTTTGGCTACAAAATATCATAAAGCAGTGCAGAAAAGTGTTTGGGAGTGCGCGACAGCGAAAGTTGCCGTGGATGTGTACAAATTTGGTGCTAGGTATCGGGCCAAATCCTTTAAGTGTCCGGCAGTGCATGAGTCCACAGCGAATGGCCTACTGCAGTGCCCGTAAATGGCCTTCACGCATTAATCCTGTGCTGCATAAAAATGAAGATTTATCTGGATTTGAAGCCGTCTTTTGTGCCCTGATAAAATTTAATGTTTACCGTGTTGTGACTACAGTATTTCTATCTGTACTGACCATGCAGTTTGCCGCGAGCGCATCTTATTCTTCACTACACACATTATTGGCACACCCTATTTCTAATTTTGACTTCCGTTTTCGCCCTTCTTTCGTTCTTACGGGAGGTTTTAACAAACCTGCAATATTGATTCTTGCCGCACAGTGAACCTGTGTTTCTCGATACTGGTAATCATTATCATAGCTTATTCGTGACCTTTACATCCTTTTCCAACCTGAGCAGTCGTAAGCTTCGTAGAAGCAACTGTATCTGATATGCTTTAAGACATCGTTTCACTATGCTGCACGGCTTTCGGTTTTTGGCGCCCGTATTCAGTCACGGTTCGCATATTAGAAAAGAAGCGATATGATAGATTATTTTATTTAAGAATTCTAATTACTAGAGGGGGGAAATATAAATTTACCGATATTTTGTGCTTCACGAAAAGTGAATAATCACAAGGAAAAAATGGCGAAAACCATTCGGGTAAAGTTAGAAATCGTCGGTGACCTTTTTGACAATCCTCCTCAAACAAAGACAGTAATTTCTTTGAATTGTGCAACATTTTGGTCCTCCGGACATGACAAATGTGCGTAAAAATATCTGTAATTTCAGTGGAATGCATTTAAAGCGGGAATAAAAAACAGGAAACTTATTTTGTTGCCCTTAGTTAATTGGAGAACTGACTCCACAAATGCTTTTTAGCCTGCTCACTTATGAACTGATGGCTGCGTTGCCTTTAGTGGACGCGGTGATGAGCGAGGCGGCTCGCCAGCCGATCGACGGACGAATTCATCTGCCCCTTCCCGCCTCGCTGCGATCTCTCGTCACCGTGGAGAGCTACCCGGTGGTCCGTGCCAGTTCGGGCGGTGCGGCGACCTTTCACTGCAGTCCTCTGCGGATACTTCCCAACGTTAACAGGAGCAATGCTAACAATACAACCGTCATGTGGGTGCACAACCACAAAATGCTGGCGGCACTTAACAGCGACGGGCTGCGTTACAATTACACGGCATCCAGCGATATCACTCAAACGGTGGACTGGGCGGCCGCCTCCGCCACGCTCACCATGCGCAACGTTACCTGGGCGTCACGCGGCCTGGTGGGTTGCCTGCAGGAATGCGAAGCCGACCCGGTGTATGAGCACTGCCCGCTACATATCTTTCGTTTCCACGTCACGCCCACCGCCAATGAGCTCTTTTTGGCGCCGCTGATGCACAACCTCACGGTCGTCCGCTCCGGGGAGGCGCGCTTCCGGTGCATCACCAGCCTGATTGTTCCCACCGACGTATTCCATGGTCGAATGGGCTTCATCTGGCGCTATAACGCGCAGTGGCTGGCGGCGCCCCAATACCACGCTCTGGAACCTTTCGTGGGGCCGGTAGCCACGCCTCCGCCGCGGCGCCCCTCTCCCAAGCATGTGCCCCCGTGGCAGCGCAACCGGAAGCCCGGGGAAACGTTGGCGGAATACAGCGTCTTCAACAGTGATACCGATCCCGATAATTTCACCAGTACGCTGGTCATTCCCGCTGTGCAGCTGCAGGCGTCGACACCGGCGCGGGTGGAGTGCTGGGTGCAGCCAGATCATCAGCGGGAAGTCTGGCTAATGCAGACGGCCTACTTGCATGTCCTACCGGCATCCGATGCCTGACTGTTGAAGCATGCTATTTAACTAACACTCTTTTTGCATGCTTTCTGCATTCTTAATATTATTATGGGATGACTGTTAGATAATTCTCAGGTACAAGCCAATACAGTAATTCGTCATATAAACGAGGCAATTCGCAATGGCCTCTCTCATCAGGAACACTGGCTTGATAAACAGTCACACAAACTACCAAATCGCCAACTAACGTAAGTGTCGCAAATGTTACGGTCCCAGGAAGCAGCTGAAAGCATTATTATGACCGCTTACGCGGAAAACATTGGGCAGGGGATAAAAGGTGGCAGTGGCACCTGCCACTGGCAACTGCCACCTTTTATCGCTTGCCAGAAAGCTTAGTGGCAACTGCCACTGCCGGTGGCAGTTGCCAGTGGCAGGTGCCACTGCCACCTTTTATCCCCTGCCAAAACATTGTACAACGTAACTAAAACTGTACCCGCAATATTTCTTTAATTTTCACGTGACACGATTCACATTGTGGTTAATGGGCACCAAGGTTAACTGGGTTTACTTATGATCTTCTTGTACGGTCGTTTAAGGGGAAAATAACAAATCATCTGATGCCGATTTGGAAGTAGAGCAAGTTTTACAATGATGTTATCGATTTTTAAAGCCCTTCAGTAGTTTTTGAAAAACGGCAACTGAATGGAGGGCTTGTTGACTGACCGGCAGCAATGTGTGCCAGAGCCGGCTACCCATGCTACCCTTTGCAAAAGGAGATCGATCAGACAGAACAAAGTTGGAGAGGGAAGAATGAGCTCGGCTCCGGCCACAGACAGCATCAGATGTTTTGTCTGAGATCTTATGTGATATACCTTTACATATCTGCCATGCGGGTGGCCATGGCTAGCCGATAACATCACTGCATTTACTTCGGTGTTGCTGACCAAAGCCAGTAGAATATACAAAGCCTGGAAGCAGGCATATAACACGGTCACGTCCTCGATCCAACTCCGCTTTGAAGTGAGCTCAGCCCAACCTCCTTTGATAGTTGGTGAAAATTAATTCGAAAGTAATTCCTCGCGCAAGATAGAGTGGTGCGCTTGCACTACGAGGCGTACAAAACAATGTGGCGAAACGGATGTACTGTAGCTTTAGAAAAAAATCACACTAATCCGGGAAAATAATACAGGGTGTTTTGAAAAATGCTCTATTCATCCCATTCATCGCGCTTTATTGTTGTTTTTAATTCAGGTCTTGTGCGTTCACATTTTGATGAATGGAAATTCGCTATGATTCATGGTTTGAAATAGCATACTTGATCAGTGCATGGAAAACTGGATAACGTTAACTTTCAGGTATCCACCGTGCACCAAACCTGCGCATTTTGGACGGCTAAAATCATAGGATTTTTTAAATGGCCATTTTGGCCGTTTCTCCGAAGACTCGTATGCTAACTCCGCGGAGCTCTATTTAGCTGATAAGGTCAGATTCAAGGCTTAGTGTATTCTACTGGCTTTGTGCTGACCCAGTCTGATTTTTAAATGCTATTTAATGATAACAAGTACCGGTATACGACTTTGTATTGATCAGCACGTAGCGAAAAATGCAGTACAAAAGTGTCGGTTAACAATAACAACTATCCATAACATCATCTCCGTTCAGCTAGGTGAAAGGCAAAGTACACATCTTCTTTCTCTATCTTGTCGCTAAATGTACCGAGTACAGAAACTGCATTTCCTTATTGAATCTCGATCCCAATTCTTGGGTCGGCCAACTTCGCCTTTGCCGTCCATTTGCCTTTGCCGTTTCAGTTTGCCGTTTTCAGCTTTACCTTTGCCTTTACCTTTGCCGGTGAAAAAGCCGTTAGCACAACAATTTGCCGTTGCAGAACGCCGTTTCCAAAAGCCTTTGCCGTTTGGAAAACGAATTATCATTAACACATTGCCGTTCCCGAACTTTTTTGGTGCGGTTTCCGGTGTCACGTTTTTTCCACATTTTCTGTGTACTTTATGCGCACAGTCCGTTTGCAAAAGTTTTACAGATCTTGGTAATTTTTTCCTGTATACACCGCAAAACCAACATCAGGATAACATGATTAACATCATACTGTATTACAGTAACAATATACAGCATGATCTTGGTACCACTGTAGTACTGACCATGATTTTGTTAAAGTTATTAGCACATCAACAAGATTATCCACGTGATCTACAATTTATATTGGTAGTTCGTAATCTCAAAGTTAAGAACAGCAGAAAAAAGTTACCGTCAACTGACGAAAATTTTTGAGCTAAATAATTATCTGACGAATCAAATTATTAAGTTTGAACAAACTACTACTAGCGCCAAGATTATACTGTATGTATAGGTAATACAGTAGGATGTTAATCATGTTATCCTGATATTGTTTTTGGTGTTGTATATGGGAATAGAATTACCAAAATCTGTTGAACTTTCGCAGACGGACTGTGCGCATAACGTATACAGGAAACTTAAAAAAAAACATGAAACCGGAAACCGCACAAAAAAGTTCGGGAACGGCAATGGTAATTTGTTTAATGGTAAAGGTAATTTGTTTTCAAAACGGCAAAGGCTTTTAGAGACGGCGTTCTGCAACGGCAAATTGTTGTGCTAACGGCTTTTTCACCGGAAAAGGTAAAGGCAAAGGTAAAATTGAAAACGGCAAACTGAAACGGCAAAGGCAAATGGACGGCAAAGGCGAAGTTGGCCGACCCCAATTCTTTGGCGTAAAAACTCCCCGGAACGAGGGTTGGCTGTACTGTCAACAATCTTTCTCACCAGCTCTTTAAAGAATTTCTTCGTCAGTGGTCCGAATGTTCCAGTGGTTTCAAACGCCAACGGCTGGACGATGTAACGGTCTGCCAGCCCGCTATACTTTCCTAACTTCCGGTTTTCCCGCATTTCTGCTGCACTTCCCGGCACCCTGGACGTCTGGGCGATGTATGTTTGGGCAAATGTGTCCGCCACGATTACATCCCATACCAGCGGCTTTCCGTTTTTCCAAGGGAAAGCTGTCACGCCATCCGGCCGCTTCCCATCGCCTCTGTCTAATATGATGTCTAGTATGATAACAATATACTATATCGCATCAAGACATACTACCTAGAAGCCCGAAAAATTTCCTACAAGCTGATGTTAAGATTTGAAAACACATCTGTACTAAAGGTCATCTCATAGTGGTGCCCGTAAGGGTTAGGTAAGATTCACATAACCATAATCATAAAACATAACGCATAAACGTAAAACATAATTCAAAAGCATACGTAATCATAAACATAACTCATAATTGTGCTCATAGAAATATATTTATATTTACAAATTATTCGTGCTCATAAATTTCCATTTCCAGTTTGATATCAGCAATTAATGGATTTTTTAAAAAAGATATGAAACTTCAGATTTTCCATATTGTTTCGCAGTATTTCAAGTTTTAGTTCATTTGCATAACTACTTGAAGTGACACAGGTGCAGTTTCCTGATGGCGCCAAAACCGTCCCTTCTTAAGTTCCAAACTACATACAAGCCCGTTTTCAAACCTGTAGACCGCTGTAAGCGGGATATTTGAAAAACGTCGGCTTGAGCCATTCAAAGTGCTTAGGCACGTCTCGGCGTATCCTATATATTACTTCTCTAGGCCAATGTCAAAAGTAAGAAAGAAATTTTGGAAGAAAGAACTTCTATGTGGCCAAAAGTAAAAAAGAAGTTTTAGAAGAAAGAAGTTTTCTTAGGTCAATAGTAAAAAAGAAATTTCTCCAGTCAAAAGTAAGAAAGAAATTTTTAATATGGTGGCTGCAATATACTGCATTCTTTGTACATTAAAAACATTTTTTACTACCGCGCACAGTATGTACAGTTTACATTTAATTGATTTGTGTGACAATTGGGCATCCACAAAACTGTTATTCTAACCAGAACGAAAACACACCATAACAGTTAAATGTTTTTTTTTGCAGACAAAACCCATTCGCCCACAAACTTCTTAAAACCAGGCTTAAGTGAATTAACAAAATGGCAAAAATTGAAAATGATTGCGTCCGCTGAACTTGTCTATGCATGAATAAAAAAAAGTAAAAAATTTAGTAACGACACAACATGAAATGAACCACGGAAAAGTAGCCGTGGCACTGCCGCCCCGTCGAAACATGAAAACGTTGCACTGTCGCGGCCACAATGAGTCGTACAAGATGCCGGCTAATTTTTCTTACGCCGGATATGCGCCTTCGTCGCTGCTTGCATCTTCAGATTCAAAACCTTGCTCCATGTTAGCCATTGCTGAGCGAATGCTACTTGATGCAAAACTATCCCTAGGTGATTTCCAAGATTTTTTCTAACATGGGTTTAAACAGGCAACATGGAATTTCGGCAAATTTCCTTGACAAATTTTGGGCTTGATTAGTGCAATTTATATTTTTAGAAAAACATGTTTACCCATATTTGTATCAAAGAAGCAGCTTTGATATCGCATTGCTTCCCGCTCTTCGGTGTACAGTGTATGGCACTATATTTTACAATCATACTGTCATAGTGTAATTACATATATAGCAGACAGTGAGATTTCTCTCAAGCGTAGCTGATTAACTGTATGTTAACAAAACTCCAGTACGCAGAGATGGGATGGTGTAATAGAGACATTACGTACATGCTTTCTATCCTGAGAGCAACGGTGTGCCTTGGCTCCCTATTCTGCGAGCACATACAAATAATACAAATACTTTTGTAGTTACTGTTCAAAACCTCACATTGTTCTATTATTCGGCCTGCATCAACAAGTTCATTTGTTTACAATTAACATTTAAACGAAACACAAACAAGATTAAAAATTTCCAATTCAGAATCACGCTGTACTATTTAATGCAGTATCAAATCGCCTAGCATAACCATTTCAATAAAATTTATCAAAAATAAAAAGTTTTCTTCTACAAGATGTGCTGGTGCTGCAAACAGAACTTATCAGTACCAGAAAAATCCATCGTAGAAAAGGTTTGCCCGCTTGCAGAGATTCTGATATTGCAGGCAGTCTGAAAAGACAATGCACTTATATAGTGCGCTGTCTGGGATTATTGAATGGTGCCTGCCTGTCATAATGGGCAGGAGAAACGGTTCAACTGAATCTTTGAAGCTACTCTATTACGCCATCTCCTCAACTCCATTTATTTAGAGGCAACGCTAATCACATTTTTGCCCTT